ATACCTGTATTATTTTTTTATTTATTTAATATTTATACCGTTATATTTATGACAAGGGCAGGCATTTTAATGTTAATTAGCTTGTGGCTAAACTCTAAATAACGCTAGGAAATTTCAGCAGAAACTAATTTCAGTATGAGTGATAGTTGAGCGCTTGATTGGGTGCTGTTCCGAATGAATGATTGAAATGGAGAATATTAAGGGGCAAGTATACTTAAAATTAGTGTGATTTGGTCACATCTCTTGAATATCTGCTATTGGTCAGTAGCATAATATATTATGTGTGCGAAAAGAATTATAACATTTTATCAAAGTTTTAACGTATATAATTTCATGAATTTGGCTTGCAATGTTCAACACACGCATACAATTACATGAGATTTTTATAAATTGTACATTTTGTCATCCAGTGCAATGAAATTCATATATGTATCATTTTATAAATGATATATAAAAAGGCGTTTCTTAAAATTGCATTTAATTTATAACAAAGTTATTATATAGGATAGAATTCCGCATATAATACAATCAATTTTTATTAGGGAAATTTAGAAACTATTAAAACATTTTGTTTTCCTTCTAGTCAACAGCAGTTATTCTTATATGGGTGTTTAGTGATTTTCATGTTTATATTAATGATCTCAAGATTATTTAATCCAGATGTCTAAACAACTCAATATTTATTTATTCATTTATTTATAAGTCGTAAAAATAATAAATGTTATTTAAGGCTATTGTCAGCTTTAGTTAAATTGGGAAAATATCCCATCTATGCACAACAAATACCACTCATGTGCAGTACTTGAATTTGATTGGAAATGCATTAATAAGCAAATCAAATAGTATAATGAACAACTTAATTAATATTGTGATGTTGATAATTATTGCTGATTGGTGGCATTTAATTATTTATTTGCTACCATTCAGTAGTGAATTATTAGTTTTAGATTAAATTTTAAGACGGACCCGGTTGCAGATCATGAACCGTACTGATGCTGATCCCAATGTGCGATCGCAGTGCGAAAAAGCGATAAAATTTTATTAGTGAGAGCACAATTAACCGCTAATGTATAATCGAATCATCGTGAGTAATAAAGATGAAATAGATATCACCGATTTTAAAAATGTATTATGCAATGGACTTTTGTATTCAGATCGGTGATATGTGAACGCGACACGTGATCAATTCGGTGTATATGAATACACACAGTTCACATGTTGGATGTAAACAGACGGCGCCCTGTATTATTGAGATGCAATTTAAACCATCAGATTAATAATCCAATGTATAGGCGCAGAATGGATTTCAATTAATAGCCAAAACACAACAATGAAGTTTTAAAATTGATTTGAATTCATTATTTATGTTGATATATAAATATATATTCTGTTAATAGTGCCAAATTCAAAAGGGGCGTTATGGCGCGCTCGGGTAGTCGCGCTTAGGGCGCCGGATCTGTATCGAAAGAAATGTGGACACAATTATCCTTTTCCCTATTGCCTTGTAAATTCCTACATCTGATTCCTATCCTGCAGGGCTGTTGCCGATGTCCGGGGTCGCGGGTCGAGTGGAGTTTGGCCCTCGACCTCGGACCACTTAGGCACACCGGCCCGTTCCCGTCTAAGCCGCCTCGTATTTGGTCGGTGTACGATGCCTCCGAAGCGTCTTTGAAGTGGTCAATGTTCATGGGGCTCAACTGTTCCTATAGGCTCACCGGCCAGTTTGCCTTACGATCAGTAATGAACTAGAATCACTTTAAATACCTTCGCATCAAACAATTTTTAAATAGTACGTAATTTACAATTGTAAACAAAATTGTCATTGTATATACTTATATGTGTATATGTATACACATATATTTATATAGTTATTTATACATATTATATATAATATATATGAATATGTATATATGGTGTTATCGATAAAATTAATTTTCACTAACACATTGTTAGGTTTTTTAATATGTTTTAAACTTCATTTCGCAATTTTATATAAATATGATAGATAAAATGTTGTCACGATAATAGTTGATTTGAATATATATGTAGATAGAGAATGCAATCATTTGGATGATATATTTCCCAAAGTGCAAAGTTTATTGCTAAGATATATTTTACATAGGTTCATGTATCTAGTTACATGTATTCAATTTACTATTTCGTGGCAATGAATTAATCAGAGTTATTTTGTGTAATTCTTCAATTTCACTTATAATGAGTATTTGAATATTTTGTTGAAATTACTAAAAATGTTTATCTGTATATGTGATTGAATAGAGTAAAACTAAAATACTTTGTGGATATAATGAGATGAAAATAAATAAATGTAATTAAAAATGATCAGTTTAAATATTTGATATTAATAGTTTTTTATCATTTCAGGAGAGCCACAGGTTTAAAAACCAATATATGATAAAACTATGTAACAGAGGTAGAATGAATGAAGTTCTATGATGATAATAAATTGTTTGAATTGAGAAGAATTAGAAGATAATTTCTGAGTGTTTGAATATGTTCTATATCATAAGCTATTAAAAAACAGTATTTTCATATTGCTATTTATTAATTCTAAATTATTTATTAAATTGTGAGTGAAACACAATGGTGCATACAAATTTTTTATAATTTATTTTTTAAAAAAATGTATGGTATAATTATCTATTCTATTATACCAACCTTATTATTAAAACGAAATTGACAAAGTGATGAAATGGAATACTTTGAGCGATTTCTTTTATTCCCTTCATGCATTTTCTTGTAACTTTTAGGGTAATTTACATATCCCATAGCACTTTTTATTCTTCTATTTGAATGAGCTATCTTTATTGAATCTGCTTTTGCAAATCTACTTTCATTTGGTATACATGATCCTCTTCTTGCATTATTTTTGGATATTGGGTTAGCAAGAGCATTTAAAAGAAAAGTTCTTTTAGGTGTCGAAGGCTATAAATAATGATTTATGTTAACCTTATGCAATAAATAAGTAATATAACATACTTACACATTCTTCAATATTTTTAGAAACCCAACTGTCTCCAAAACATCCATTCATAATTTTTTGCTGTTTTGTTTTACTAGGTTTCTTCACTTTTATATCTTGTTCCTGCTGAGATTTTGTATCAGCGATAACTCTGTTATTAATTCTTGTATAATTTCTATGTATATAAGTCAACAACCAATTGTACCCACTTTCAATATTTTCATTGGGATCTGGTAAACGCACAGCACTGCAAGGTTGTACCAATGTTGGACACTGGTATTTATTGACCATATCTTCAATCCCCAACTTTTCTACAATATCTATTTCATCTAAGGCACCTTCACAATCTTGCTTATTTGCAAAAATAAGTATAGGTTTTCCATTAATTTGTTTATGGCAAACGACTTCATTTAATATGTGTTGACATTCAGCAAGACGTTGCAAATCACTAGAATCAACAACAAATATGAGTCCGTGGGCCTGTAATTTAAATTTCAAATAAATGCATATTTGATTAAATTCAAGTGTAAAATAATATTCACATCTAAATAGTATTTGGGCCAAATGTTTCGGATTTGTTCACTTCCACCTAGTTCGTAAAGAAAAACATTATGTTTATCACAATTTAGGTTCTGCATAGAGAAACCAATTGTCGGTAATACATTAGTGAAATCTTCTTTTCTCAAACGATTAGCAATTACAGTTTTGCCTGCATTATCCAATCCCAATAGCAAGAGAACGACACTATAAAAATAATTATTATTCGGTGATGGTAACTAACCATTAATATAACAAATATATACTCTACTTTTGTTGTGATGTTTTAGATGTAAATCTCATGCACAAATTTCCCATAGCTTATATTTATAAGAGACGAAAAAAACATTTTTAATATAAATGTAAACAAATCATTGTTAGGTAAACAAAGGCCATCATATATCGATCGTGACATTTGAATCAAAATATAAACAGAACGCTGCTGTGAACAGTACTGCCACCATAATAATGCTTTGATTTGGTTGTATGGTGACAGTTGTTATCTATGGCTGTGTTCATTGTTTTGCACAGTTTTGCACAACTTAAGGATTTCATTTTTCATGTTTACCCTAGACAATATAATAATGATGTTTACATTAAGTGAATATTTCATTACCCCATGGTCCACAATAAACCACGTCAAGTAAATGAAAAATTGTTGATTTTCAACTTTAGTTGACCTCAGTCTTTCAAATTTGGTACAAGATTGGACAAACTTGACGCCACAAACTAATCTCTCGCAAACTGCGGAATTTGACTTTTGAGTGGTAAGTGTATCATTTTTCAGTCCTTTTTTTCTGTTTAGAACAAACAACTCTAAGCTTACATATTCACATACAAATATCGAAACTTTTGATTCGTTAACGATAGAAAAGCGGTTTACAAAAAAAAACGGTTCGTTGAGTTAACGCATGTCACTCCATATTTCATCATCGACATAAATACATCATCAATTATGTGTTTATTAGATATTATCTAGAGGGCAAACCTTTATGACGTGTTATTTCATTCTTTATTTTTTTCGTGGCCTAGAATTCATAAGGTTCAAATGTAACCAAGCCCGGGGTCGCGTAATAAATACATTTTCTCCATGTCCATGCACTCGAGTTTTTTTGCCATTGAACCTTAGAGAATATTAACCCTTTCCACTCGCAAATTCCGGAATTTATATATATTTTGCCGCCGGAGCGGCAGCATCCGAGTCGAAAGGGTTAAGTATATCATTTGACTCATATTACTTTTTAAAAAGGAAACGAAAAAAATGAAATATGTATGTTCCAATGGACCTCTTATCGGTTCCTTGTATTTCATAAATTACATGCATTTTAAAGAATAGAAAGGATTATAAAAAATCAATAAGACGTATAATTTCATCAAAAGTGTCGTTTTTGCGATCGATCATGATACCCTTATTGCTTATTGTCTATGATCATGCCGGTGTTAACGTTTAAAAATTTGATTAATATATTATTTAAAATTATCTCATTACAATCGTTAAAAATTTGATATCGTATAATTCTGATAAATCTTAATTTACAATGATTTTGATGATATTCATTATGCGATACGTTGCAATTCGGCTATCGACATTTCAGAACAATTTCAAAACGATAACCTCTAGTAGTCAGCGTTTGTCAAAAGGTTAAAATAGGTTAGAAACATTATTATGTGGCAAATTGTAAATTTCTAAATTTACAATACAATGTCAATAAGTAATTTTGCGACACGCCGAACACGTCAATCATTTATTTTGTTAAAATTTTGACTTACTTGTTAAAGAAACCAAATTGTTCATGTAAGTTACACTATTTTCGTTACTATATTTGATGATAACCAAACTCGTATAATAACGTAATTTTGCTGTGTAGTTAATAATCAAATGCCTAGTTGATATGCTTAGTTCCGGAAGCCCTAAGGATTCCCAGAATGATTCTAATGCCGCCAACGATACTTTTGACCAAAGGCCATTTAAGAGAAAACTTACACGATCATCTAATTCCAGTGAAAACTCTGATATGGGAACAGAGGTAAATATGTCTTTATTGTATTGATAAATTTTGCAAGTCTTGTTATTATGATGTTACTTGTATTTGACTTTGCAGGATGTTATATTTTATGAAGGCATTCATGATGAACGACATGACTTGTTGGAGGATTCATCCTGCAACAAATTTTATCAAAATAGACCAAGAACTTTGAAAATGAAGAACAGCTCACCCAATGTAGTAGAGCTGCAATGTGATACGTCTTTTAATCCCAAATCTGTTTTTAGTGAAGAAACAGTATGGGTAATTACTGTACAATTATTTATCCCGTTTCTGCTGGCAGGATTTGGGATGGTTGCTGCCAGTCTAATGTTAGATTTAGTGCAGGTAATTTTTTTGAGTGAGAAAAATGAGAAAATTAAATAATAATTTCTTCATTAGTCTTATGTTGCAGCATTGGCCAGTTTACCAAGATATACCAGAGGTATATATATTAGTACCTGCATTATTAGGCTTGAAAGGAAACTTGGAAATGACTTTGGCCTCCAGACTGTCAACACAAGCTAATTTGGGTCTTATGGACACTATGAAGCAACAAATCAATATGGTTGCAGGCAACTTATCATTAATTCAAGTACTACATTCATTTTCTTGAAAGATAAGCATATCTTTTTTTATAGACTCTAACTTGGCAACCATTATATCTATGTATATATATATATATATATATATATATATATATATAAATATATATATATATATATATATATGTTGTTTGAAGAAAAACACTAATATTCTGCCTAATTATATTCCATCAAAGTAGAGCATAAAGCAAAACAGTACTAAATGGGGCTTTCTTTAAATGTATTTAATGGGGTTAGGAAAAATTGGACAAGAAAATCAATATTCTTAAAGAAACAAATAAAATTCTAATCGAATCATTCAGTCTATTCTGTTTACAATTTTTTGCTTTTCTGTGAACAAAGCACATAATGTAGTTTCTGCCTTCGTTCTTTTGAAAGTTGTGCATAAGTATATAAAGAATCTAAAACTTTGGCTTACTATTGAAACTCTGCCAAAGTTTGGATCCAAAGCAGATTTAAGCCTTATATTACTGTACCACTATTGCTACCAAAGACTAAATAACTACCAAAAATATCACTTTTATTTGAATTTATTTTTGCAATTAATCCAATGCCAATAAATAATTGGCAAACTAAGTAATGGAGTATGTAAAACTGTAGTATTTTTAATACTACAATTCAATTAAATTCTATAAGTCTTATTGATTTGTGTAGAATACCATTAGAATCTAGTAGTAATCTTATGGAATTGAAAGCAATGTGAAAGTATGTACATCCTAGCTTTGTTTCAGTGAGAATTTAACCAAAAATTTATTTTGTTATTGTTACTGCTATGTTTTATTAAATCAGCAATATTTTTAGTGTCAAGCGATTGTGGTTGGTTTCTTAGCATCTTTGGCTGCAGTTGCGATGGGTTGGGTGCCAGAAGGACATTTCGACTCGAATCATGCTTTTCTTTTGTGTGCTTCAAGCATACTAACAGCTTCTTCAGCTAGTTTTATGCTCGGTCAGTTATATTTCATGCAATTTCTTATACTCATATTTATATATTGCATACAATTTGCTCATAGTAACAAATTAAATTGTATTTCAATAGGATTGATCATGGTAGCCGTAATAGTACTTTCTAGGAGACTGAACATAAATCCAGATAATGTTGCAACACCTATTGCAGCTAGTTTAGGAGATTTAACTACATTGGCTCTGCTATCATACTTATCCTCATATTTATATAAAAGGATAGGTACATAACTAAATTTAAAATCTTTTCAAAATAAAAGTAATTTATTATTATTCAATATGAATTTATTAAGAATATTTTCTATATATCAATTATAGTAATTATATTTGTATTTATTTAGAAACTGCACCACATATATCCATTATAATAATTCTATTTGGAATATTATTGGTACCGCTCTGGGGATTAGCAGCTTCAAAAAATGTTCATACAAAAGAAGTACTAAATTCTGGTTGGACACCAGTTATATCTGCAATGCTCATTAGCAGGTAGATTTTATTGTATTAAAAAAATATTTACACATGGTGTCAAAAAATTAGGAAAAAAATTCAAATCTCATGAATTTTGAAAGTTATGAGCTTTTAAGTACAACCTAAAGCTTGGTCCAAACTGCGACCATTTATTGGTTATTGTGGCTAATTTTTATTACTTTTGATCAATTAAACGTTGCAACTGTTACACTAAACAAAATTTCTAGGATCACAGCCAAAATAATAACACAATTGCCTCAAGTTTCCTAGAATTAAGGCTTAAAATAAAATTTAAAAGATTTTTTATTTTGTTGACGTTGAGCTTTAGGCAACCCTGCATGTATATTTGTTTAAAATAATATATATATATATATATATATATATATATATATATATATATATATGTTTCTCATAATGTTTTAAATTAATTATATAGTATAGGAGGACTTATACTAGATTTTACAGTATCAAACTATAAAGGCATTGCTGTCTTTCAACTTATAATAAATGGTGTTGGTGGCAACTTGGTTGCTGTACAGGTTTGTCAATATGTTATTCTTCTTTTGTATTAAAAATTATAATATAAATTTCTTAGGCCTCAAGAATTTCAACTGCCTTGCATATGGAGCAAAGAAGAGGTTGCTTGCCAGCTGGTCAGAATGCACTTTGCCTAAACCCTATAACATTATTCTGCAACAAAGGTATGTTCAAATGTTTTGTATGAAATTTGACAATTTATTAACAGTTAAATTTTTCAGGTGGCCATGCTCGAACTGCAAGGGTTCTATTGGCAATGGTTGTTCCTGGTCATTTAATATTTTCCTATACAATTAGTTACCTTAAAGCAGGACACACGTCTTTCACTCCTACTTTTATTATCACATATTTAACGGCAGCTACTGTACAGGTGGAATAAATTTTGTTCTCTATGAATATACAATTTAATAATTTGATATTTGTTTTTAGGTTTTATTGTTATTGTATATAGGCCAGGTTATGATCAATTGGATGTGGAAACATTATATAGATCCTGATAATTCAGCCATACCATATTTAACTGCTATTGGAGATTTGTTAGGTACAGCTTTGCTTGGAGTCGCGTTCCAGTTCCTATACATTATTGGAGACAAAGATAGTGATGTTGGTGATTAATATAATTTATTATGAGATGATAATTCCGAGAACTGTGTTTAAATTAAATTAAAAAAATTTTAGTGCTTTGTATAAACTAAAAGAAGTGATTGACTTAAAGTGTGAAATATGAATTCTGTCATTTAAGGAAAAAGGAAGTATAAGTGTTTATCTACTTTAAATTTGATGTTTATTTATCAAATATTTTTTATTAAGTAATAATTCATATTATTTTTTTATAATATGATATACATAATTTATATTATCACATATAATTAACATAATAGTTCACTATGCATCATTAAATGGTGTGACTGAAAGCATATGTTTATCATAATAGAATATATTTTAAATTTTAATGTTCAACTTTTAATTGTTATATTAATTATTTTTGTTCTGTCTTTTTATTTTCAGAATTGGAACTATATGAATAAAAACATAGTATTATTTATTATATATTGATTAACTTTCATGCATATATTCCAAAATCAAAAAATTATTGTCGAGGGCGAGAGAAAAAGGGTTATCTGTACACAATTATGAAACTAAAAGGAAACTGGATGTGGAAGAGTCTGATGTATGACTTATTGCAAGAACAATGCAGATGGTCTACAACTTGCACAATTAAAGAAAATATAAATATAAAAAATATAAATAAATAAAAAATAAAAGCTATGGTACAAAATATAGAAATATTAAAGCAGAGGTACAAAATATCTGTAAACATGAGTGGGGATAAAAAATATGGTGCTCTCACTTTGTTAAGATTTTAAAACACTACCCTTCGGTAGACAATATAACACCAACTGTACCAGCCTAAAAAAGGAAAGTTAAGACAATTATAATATTTGAGGAAGTTATTAAACTAACAAAATGGAAATTTATACAATAAATTATGACACCACAGCCATTTTCGTGAGACACGTCGAATTTGAGGCGCTCTGCAGCACACAGTGTAGCTGCTTCAAATTTGGATCTAAAAAAAAAACCTATTGCACATAGCAAGAGAAAAAATTGGAGTTTGGAAAAACATTTTTGTGTGATTGACGAGCATTTGAACTAATGAAAAATGAAAATACTGTGGTATTATCCTTTAAATTTGAAATTGATGAACAAATTAATCATGAAAAAAAAATTTATCAATCAAATATTCATATATTGATAAATTGCGCATATGAATGCTATTAAGTTTTTAACTTCCCATATGGTAAGTTATAGTAATCGCAAAAAAATATAAAATGAAAATGTTTATATATCTTTACGTTTCAAAAGTTTCTGAACATTTTGGCATACCCCGAAAAAATGAATGTATGTGTGTGTGTGTATGTATGTGCGGATACAATTTTTTGTCGACGATCTCGAGAACACGGATCAACCGATTTGAATAATTGAAAAAACATTCGATTCGAAAATACGTGACAAAAAGCTCCAAAACTGGTATTTTAGTTTTTGAGAGAACGGAGCGTCCAATATTTGCATTATTGGAAAAAGATTTTACTTGATTGACGGGATGAACAACTAGTAAAATTTTTGGGAAGATTAAACGTCCGGCGATCCAATAAAAAAAGTAAAAAATATTGCCATTTTTGGCGGTCAAAATGATCATTAGACATATGCACATAATATCATCATATATTTTATTGAGATTATAATAATAAATGCAAATTTTGTGTACATTTATATGGGTTCCGTACCAAAGTTTACACCATAGATAAACAAGTATAAGGTTTACACGTTGAACTATAAAGTCGTTAGACCCGCTTCGATATTTCCACTCTAAAAGATACGCAGCGCGATTGCTTTAAAAAAAAATTTCAAAAAAAAAATTCAAAATATAAACAAAAATTCAATTTTTTTCGAAAATTTCGAAATTCTCAAAAATCTATTCATTTTTTTTCAAAATTCTGCAGTTTATTATTAAAAATTAAGTTTTCGGTAGGGAAAGTTCCAGCATTTTGCCTTAAGGCAGACACGATACCATGCACCACTAGTTAACTTCCCGTAGGGCAAGTTATTGTAATCGGAAAAAAATCGAGAGATTTTTGAACATTTTGGAATGCCTTAGAAAAAATTGATGTGTGTGTGTGTGTGCGGATACAAATTTTCGTCGACGATTTTGGGAACACGGATCAAACGATTTGAATAATTTAAAAAACATTTGAATCCTACTGATAAGGAGTTTTTGACAACGGCAAATCCAGCCGTTTTGGAGATACGGGGCAAAAAGTGCCAAAAATGGTATTTCAGTTTTTGACATAACGGAGCGTCCGATTTAAATAATTCAAAAAACATTTTACTTGTATTGACGAAATGAACAACTGGTGAAATTTTGGGAAAGGCAGGTCCGGCATCTCCGGAGAACCAATAAAAAAAAAGTGAAAAACAATGCCATTTGCGGATACAAATTTTCGTCGACGATTACGGGAACACTGATCAATCGATTTGAATAATTCATAAAACATTCGATTCGTATTGATAAGGATACGTGCTGATTAGTTTTTTGCAAAGGTCTAGCCGTTTCGAAGATACGGGGTAAAAAGAGTCAGAAATGGTTCAGTTTTTGAGGGAACGGAGCGTCCGATTTGAATAATTGAAAAAACATTTTATTTGTATTGACGAAATAACCAACTGATAAAATTTTTGTAAATACAGGTCCAGCGACTTTGGAGATCCAATAAAAAAAGTAAAAAACAATGTCATTTGGCGGTCAAAACTGAATATTAGACATATGTACATAGTATTATCAGATATTTTATAAATATTATAATAATAAGCACAAATTTTGTGTACATTTATATGGGGACCGTATCAATGTTTTCACGATAGACGATACGCGGCGCTTACGCGCTTTTATGTTTCGACTTCAAATCAGCTAAGCAACGCGATTGCTTAAAAAACTAGCTGTAAGTGGAATTCTGTCTTAAGGCAATTAAGGCATCGTGCCTTAAGGCAAATTGCTGGAACTTCCCGTACCAAAAATTATTACTTTTTTAAAAACGATTAACATTTTTGAAAAAAATTTACTTTGAAAAAATAAGATTTTTGAGAAACTATAAATTGGACAAAAAATTACTTTTTTTTGAAAAAAAAAAATTATTTTTTTTTCTTTATTTTGACATATTGTGGAAGATCTGAACTTTCTTTTCAAAGCAATAATCGTACTGCTTTAACTGCATAGGGACAAAATATAAAGCGCGTAAGCGCCGCGTCGCTGTCTAACGCATAAGCATTGGTACGGAACCCATAGGAATGTTAACAAAATGTATACTTATTGTTAAAATCTCTATAAAATATCTGATAATTTGATGTGCATATGTCTAATGATCATTTTTGACCGCCAAATGGCTCATTTTTTTACTTTTTCCTCCGTATCTCCGAAACCGCTAGACCTATCTTCATGAAAATTTTATCGATTCTTCATCTTGTCAATACAAGTGAAATGCTTTTTGAATTATTCAAATCGGACGCTCCGTTCTCTTAAAAACTGAGTTACCGTTTTCGGCACTTTTTGCCCCGTATCTTTGGAACGGCTAGACCTGCCTTCGCCAAAAACTAATCAGCACGTCTCCTTATCAATACGAATCGAATGTTTTTTTGAATTATTCAAATCGGTTGATCCGTGTTCCCGAAATCCTCGACGAAAATTTGTATCCGCACATACATACACACACATACATACATACACACACACACACACACACACATACATCCATTTTTTCTAAGGTATGCCAAAATGTTCAGAAACCTCTGAAACGTAAAGATATATAAAAATTTTCATTTTTGATTTTTTTGCGATTACTATAACTTGCCCTACGGGAAGTTAAAAAGTTCAAGATTTTCATAAAAACATCAAAATACAAAAAAAAATCAAAATATATAAAAAATCAAATTTTTCGAAAAAGTTAAATTTTTCAAATATCTAATTTTTTCAAAATTTTGCAAAGTTTTTTTTAAAAAAATTTAATTTTTGGTACGGAAAGTTCCAGCAATTTGCCTTAAGGCACGATGCCATGCACCACTAATTTATTATTATTTCCATTTATCTGCAGTAGTAGTGGTCGAATCACGAATGCACATTTATACGCAACGCTCCGAAACAGGTGTTCTGATACGTCATGCATATTGAATGAGTGTACATGTGGATGTGCGTGTATATGCGTGAGTGCATGTATTGTATATGTGGTATATGTATCGTGCTCTCGTATAGAATCGCTGCGAGATTTTGCATATGTATGCGGCTTTCTGTGTTCTCAGTCGTGTTTTCTCGAGAATCAAGAATGAGTATTTTTATGAATAATAAATGAGTGCAGTGACAAAATGTCTTATAATCGTAAAATACTTAGGTACTTTCTATTAATATTTCTATGCGCTTAACTTTTACTGCACGAATTTATCAATATTTTAAGAATAATGATAAATGCCTTTAATGTAAGACAATGCTGCTTAATTTCGGCTAATGTGGTTAATGTGAAAGTGTTTCTACGTTCATTTCTACCTTCTATGCATCATTTCTGTACATTTTCTTCATGTATATACTGAGGAACATAAAAATAAGCAAACTGTTTATGGAGCAGTTTTGAAGATAACATTTTGATGTATAATTAATGAAAGGTGTGCAAAGTTATAAATATTATTTATTATTATTTTGTGTAAAGTTAAATTGTAGTGTCTGTTTTTTAGTGTAGTCATGTATATAATTTTTGAATAATGTATTTTTTCAGTGGTGTTCCATTTTCCATGTCTAGCACCTATCAATTGTGTTGACAATGCCAGGAGGTCCAGAAATGTCTACACTGGATCAAAATATGACGCAAAACAATGGTTTTAATGGTACACAATCATCAAGAAAATTTGGTATAGTTTTGACATATACTTATAAAAAACTCAGTCTTAACATAAATAGATATTAACTTAACAAAATTAAACAGATCATGATCCTCCAATGTACTCTGATGAAAAGGCAGGTCAAATAGACTCCGAATCATTAGGTCCTCTACCACCTAAATGGGAAAAAGCATATACTGAAAATGGAGAAATTTACTTTATTGAGTACGTAATATAAATCTAGATATATTGTGTAAGCCAGGGGTCGGCAAGCTTTTAACTGTAGTGTGCCAAGCCACTCTACCAATATGATTTAGAGTGTCGCCTTAATTTTGAAATATATAGTTAGGTTCTAGAGGAGAAGAATTGTAACCAAATTTATCTTTTAAACATATTTATTAACAAATAACATAAATTTGTAATATAAACTAAACAACTTTAATGCGAACCTTGTGTCTGCACATTTTTCCTTAACATTTCAATATCCGGGGTATAATTTGTAACTTTTAATTTCACACAAGATTCTGAATGTTTAGTTGTTAAACGATTTCTTTGTGAACTCAAAATATGTTTCGTGTGAGAAAAAATTTTTTCACAGAGATATGTGGAACCAAAAGCTGAAAGGATAGCGCATACAATTTTCTTTAAACAATTAAATCTTTTCCGGCAATGTCATTCAACAATTTAATATGGCTGTCAATTTTTCCATAGAGTCATCTTCCAGATTTTTTTGTAATTCCTTCAATTTTGTTTTCCATAATTCTGAAGATATTAGTTCGATAATTTCCATTTCAAAATTATCAACATTAATCTATTCGAAAATCAACAAATCAAACGGTATTATTGATGGATCTATTAAATCTGGTTTTATGAGGAAGGAAAATATAGGCACATATAAGCTTCAAAGTCTTTGCATCTTCTGGAAAATTCATCTTTAAGTACTTCAACGTAGGTTGAATTACATTAGCAAGCTATGTTAGAAAAATAATTATAATTAAACAAGCCTGGCACGCGTGCCGTAGGTTGCCGATGCCTGGTGTAAACTATAATATATAATTTTTCCAGTCACAACTCTGGTACCTCTCACTGGCTTGATCCTAGATTATCGAAGTTTCAAAAAAAGTCACTTGAGGATTGTACTGAAGATGAATTGCCTTATGGATGGGAGAAAATTGTTGACCCGCACTATGGAACATACTTTATTGATCATGTAAATCGAAAAACTCAGTATGAAAATCCAGTAATACAGGTCAGTGTTTCTGGATATCTGAGTCATAATAAACTGATAATAGGGATTTCGAAAGATATTTTGAAATAGATTAAATTATCAATCAATTTATATAAATATAGTTCATTTTTAATATATGTATGTTGTAGAAATTTTTCGAAATATTTTTGCTCCTATCTCATTAAACTTCCGAAATATTTCTTTATTGAGATATTCCATAAATATATTATATTTTAATAACAATAAATATAATAAGTTTATTATTTATTAATTTATTTATCCAATCAGCTTTGTGCAGTAAGTTTTATAGCACAAGTTTAGCGTTGCTATTAGAAACTTACTTATAAATAATTTTATTTATCTTCTTTAGGCAAAACGAGCAGCAGAAAGATCTTTGTCAGAAGTGCCAAATCAAACAAAAAATTCATTCACTCGAAATCCTGAAGAACTTTGTGGTGAACGATTTACTACTTCTTTAATAAAATCATCTAGAGGGTTAGGTTTTACAATAGTTGGAGGAGATGATAATGTAGAAGAATTTTTACAAATTAAATCGATTGTACCAAATGGTCCAGCTTGGCTGGATGGTAAACTTCAAATGGGGGACTTATTAGTGTATGTAAATGACACATGTGTCCTAGGTTTCAAACATCATGAGATGGTCAGTGTATTTCAGTCTATTCTTCCTGGTGAAACAGTACACTTAGAAGCTTGTCGTGGTTATCCATTGCCATTTGACCCAAATGATCCCAATACAGAAGTCTTAACTACAATTGCTGTGGACGCTCCTAATAAACCCTCTATGTACATGGATGTATATCCCAATGTTAATGGTAATTATAATTATTTAGATATGCCTGATGATTCAGTAATAAAAAATCATAATGAGTCACACAGATTAAATACTTGTTTGAATGATAGCTTCGATAACATACTGAATCCGGCTGATATCAATAGTGACAAACATGAAACTATAGCAATACCAATAGTTAAAGGGCCAATGGGTTTTGGCTTTACAATTGCTGATTGCACTTATGGACAAAAAGTTAAGAAGATTTTAGACAGACAAAGATGTAAAAATTTATTAGAAAATGATATTTTGTTATCCATAAATGCTGTCAGTGTCCGAGATATGTCGCATGGTGATGTTGTCCAAGTTTTAAAAGACTGTCCTAGAAATAAAGAATCTATAATTCATGTACAACGAGGAGATTATCTATTGACAAACTCTAACAGTAAAAATAAATTAAATAAAAACTTTGATACCAATAAATCAATATTGAAAAATTTAACTAGTGGTATTTTTAGAAGTAAAACACCCACTGCTGATATATATAGCACACAACAAAAAGAAATATTACCTATTCGACCAAAAACTCCATTAGTTGATACTAGAGTTAGAAGTAGAACTCCTCTTACAGAAAGTTCTAATATTTTAACTCAGGACAACATGAAAGATTTGTTATCTAATTCAAAATTGAGTTATGAGCAGGACTCTGCTAATTTATGTAATGCTTACGAGATGAAAATGTGCAATATACAAGACAGAATGGCTGCCATTTCAGTGAATAACAGTAACAAATCTGTCGACATAAATTCAATGCAAAAGGGTTACATTCCTAATCAGGTTGAATTAAATCAGTTCAATCATATGGATTGTTATAATTACAATTGCCCTCCTAATAAGTTTATGGATCATAATGGCCACCATGAATCCTGTGGGTGTTTTGATTGTAAAGAATATAAGATGTCAGAAATTGATATGAATTTTTCTTTGGGTCATGATCAAGCAAATACTAGCAAAATGGGACTAAATGTAAATGAAAGTATAGAGGGAAGAAAAGATAATATTGACCATGCTGACATGTATGCATTGGGAATGCAAAATAATAGTCAGTGGATATACTACCCTGGTTCCAATCCCCAAATGCCAATAGGAGATACTGAAACTGTAATCACCTTAGTTAGGCAGGAGAATGGATTTGGTTTCAGGATTGTTGGGGGAACAGAGGAGGGTTCTCAAGTTGCAGTAGGGCACATTGTACCAGGAGGAGCAGCCCACTTAGATGGTCGAATATGTACTGGCGATGAGATTCTTAGTGTAGATGGACAATCTGTTGTAAGTAATTATATTATAAGATTTTATATTATACAAGTGCATATAAAATTCTATTTATCTAATATGAATAAAACAGATAAATACATCACATCATCAAGTTGTACAATTAATGGGACATGCATCTCAAGTTGGTCACGTGACTTTAGGAATTAGACGTAGAACTTCTCAAGACTTTTTAAATTCTCAATTATCTTCATATCCCTATGATGTTGTGGTGAAACGAAATGAAAATGAAGGTTTTGGTTTTGTGATTATCTCCTCTATTAATAAAGCTGGATCTACTATAGGTAATTGTATATGATTTTTTTTTTTAATTCTGAATATATATTTACAGTAATTGTGTAAAAGTCAGTTGTTCTATGAAATTATAACTTGAATTCATTTATATTCCTTTTCAAAATTCATTGTCTAGCAATTATAATAATATTACATTGAATAGGTCGTTTAATTGAGGGCAGCCCAGCTGAGCGATGTGGCCAATTAAGAATCGGCGATCGCATTTTGGCAGTTAATCATATGGATATTTCTCATATGTCACATACTGATATAGTCAATTTAATCAAAGAATCTGGCTATATCGTTACATTAACAATAGGCCTACCTCTTGGTGTTAATAAATCTTTACAGCAATATATTTCCTAATGATTTAATTTACACAAATATCAAGCAATATATTTTTATCAAATTTTACATATATGATTAATGATATATATAAATAATAATAGTGAAGGCTATTATAACACAAAAAAGTTGTGACAAATGTATTGTATACTAGAAAATTGTCAAATATTTTATTATTTATTATAATATATTTACTAAATATAATTTGGGATCTGTATAGCTATACTGGTGCTTGTACTGAACTACTAGAAAATTTATAGATCATATTTCTATTGCACAGTTAAGTAATACTACTTATATATATATATATATATATATATATATATATATAAATGTGTGTGTGTATCTACATGTGTATGTGTGAACTTTTTTTATTTTTTATGATTGTTTTAATTTTTAATACTTCATATTTCAGAATGTATTTATTATCATCATTATCCACATATTATATAAATTTTGTGCATTATTATATATAGATCTATGTAGTTATTAAAATCAAGTCATGAGATATAACTATGTATGATATGTGAAGTGGATTTGGAGGTATATTTTAAATTTTTATATGTATGATTTGTCTGAGTCAGTAAAATCTAAATATTGTTTACGTATAATAGAATCATCACTTTGCATATCATATATAGCAATGGTTTAGTGTTAAGAAAAAGTTATTGGAATCCATTGATGCAATATTTTTATGAGCTTTTGTATTCTTATATTCTAAATATTGTTTATTGAAAATAATAAACTGAATTAATATTTTATAATGAAATATATATAAAAATATATATTTTATACTGCACTTGTTAAATGAATTGTTATTTATTCTAAAATAATGTTTTTGGCACAACTAGTAATAAAAGCGATATTTCAATATTTTTATTGCAGTTTGAAAATTATGCTGGCACATATTTAGTGATATCCACAGATAATCAAGCAAAGACTTTGATGGTACTATGTTTCATTTTTATTGCTTCGTTCCAGTATAATGACACAATCTTAATATAATGAAGTTTTTTATTCAAGCTTGGAGACATCAGTTAGAGTGTTTTATTAGGTGTTTGTTTGAAAACTTCACCTACAATTATGTACCACACAAAGGCAACCCAATAGTTAACCATTCTTATTTGTGGGGCGATTATATATGATATACGTATATGTAACAGTTATGAGTGTATGTTGCAGTTATACCCACGAAAGGCGATTTTTGCTTAAGATTAAATTTGAGATGTATAACCTCAAGGGGAAATTGGATATCATGCTGCCTGATATTGAGCTAACCGAGGACGGGTGCAGCCCTCATCCTTCACTGGTTACGCTACGGCGGGTTCAAGTTTTGGCAATATATTATAATATTCGGTGTGTCCAGGAAGTCCAGGTTAGTTACAATTAGACTAGAATATATTCCATAAAAATATATATCGTCATTAGCGATCTGGGAAAGCAACCAGGTTGTAGTACGAATATCTGGTGAGTGTCAATACTTGGTTGGTTTATTGAGAATGAAACTAAATTAAGTGCGAAATGAATTACGAAGATATATACGTTATGTAAAGTAAATATTAATAAAAATGATAATATAACCGATTTTTATTTAGTTTGATCGGGCGTGCGCGGTCACTGTTCGTCGTCAGTCGCCACGTTCATTGATATGCATCGGCAGTTGTAAAGCGTGGATTTACTGGAGTAACGCACCAGTGTACTAGCACACTAGCACAAGGGCATCAATGATACTCTTAAACATGCAATCGTATGTACCGACTGTATTTTGGCGATTCTGCGCTTTGCATCAAAAAATTTACAGGGAGGGCCGTATTGTGATGAAAATTAATAACTACCCGTAGGGTAGGTTATAGTACTCGCAAAAAAAAAATCGAAAGTAATTTTTTTTTGCATATCTTTGCGTTTCAAGCCCTTCGAAACATTTTGGCTTACCTTGAAAAAGTGAAAGTATGTATGTGTATTTGTTTTGTGTGGAAACAAATTTTTGTCGACGATTTCGGGCGCACCGATTTCAATAGTTCAAGTAACATTTGATTCGTATTGACGTGCTGATTAGTTTTTGGCAAAGGCAGGTCCAGTTGTTTCGGCGATACGGAGCGAAAAGAGAAAAAATAACAGTTTTTGAGAGAGCGGAGCATCCGATTAGAATGATTCAAAAAACATTCGATTCGTTTTTTACGAACTGATTAGTTTTTGGCAAAAGCAGGTCGAGCCCTTTTAGAGATACAAAGGTAGTTTTTGGGAAGAGAGGTCTAGCAATTTTGAATATGGGGATTTTTTTAAAAAAAAAATGGACATTTACATTAATGGTTGATAGGTATACAGATAAAGCGGTGGGTGATAGACAGGTAGACTTGTAAATTGATAGTCAACCACAGATAAATGTGTGGACAGGTAGGCAGGTAGACATGTGGACAAACAGTGAGAAAAGTAGACCTGTAGGCTGGTAGACAAATAGACTGGTATTCGGGTAGACAGATAGATCATATATACATAAAAAATTCTTATTGATTAAATCGATTATTTTCATTTATCGGGAAGTTGTGCAACTTGCTACAACGCAAAATGTCACTTACAACTAGTTCATTATGTAGAAATTCAGGGCATGAACAAACATTGTTTCAACCTAAACAGATCTTGAAATTTGTATTTTATAGAAAACTCAATTGAAAGAATGAATATATTATTATTAACTTCCCGTAGGGTAAGTTATAGCAATCGCAAAAAAATCGAAAATGAAAATTTTCATATATCTTTACGTTTCAAGGGCTTCTGAACATTTTGGCATACTTTAGTAAAAATGAATATAAGTGTGTGCGCGGATACAAATTTTAGTCGACCATTACGGGAACACTGATCAATCGATTTGAATAATTCAAAAAACATTCGATTCGTATTGATAAGGATACGTGCTGATTAGTTTTTCGCAAAAGAATGTCTAGCCGTTTCGAAGATACGGGGTAAAAAGAGACAGAAATGGTAATTCAGTTTTTGAGAGAACGGAGCGTCCGATTTGAATAATTGAAAAAACATTTTATTTGTATTGACGAAATAACAACTGATAAAATGTTTGTAAATACAGGTCCAGCGACTTTGGAGATTCAATAAAAAAAGTAAAATACAATGTCATTTGGCGGTCAAAAATGAACATTAGACAAATGTATATCGTATTATTACATATTTTATAAAGATTATAATGATAAGTACAAATTTTGTGTACATTTATATAGGTTCCGTACCAATGTTTACACGTTAGAGGACTACGGGGCACTTACGCGCTTTGATATTTCGACTCCAAATCAGCTATGCAGCGCGATTACTTAAAAAAAATGTTCAAGATTTTCAAAAAAAAAAATCAAAATACAAAAAAGCTCAAATTTTTCAAAAAAGTCAATTTCTTTCAAAAATTTCAAAATTTTAGAATTTCTCAAATATCTAATTTTTTCATTAATAATTTTTTAATAAGTTTTTTAGCAATTAGTTTTAATTACATTATACTATTAACTTCCCGTAGGGCAAGTTATAGTAATCGCAAAAAAATCAAAAATGAAAATTTTTATATATCTTTACATTTCAGAGGTTTCTGAACATTTTGGCATACCTTAGAAAAAATGGATGTATGTGTGTGTGTGTGTGTGTATGTGTGTGTGTATGTATGTACGTGTGTGTATGTATGTGCGGATACAAATTTTCGTCGACGATTTCGGGAACACGGATCAACCGATTGGAATAATTCAAAAAAGATTCGATTCGTATTGATAAGGAGACGTGCTGATTAGTTTTTGGCGAAGTCAGGTCTAGCCGTTCCGAAGATACGGGGCAAAAAGTGCCGAAAACGGTAACTCAGTTTTTAAGAGAACGGAGCGTCCGATTTGAATAATTCAAAAAACAGTTCACTTGTATTGACAAGATGAAGAATCGATAAAATTTTCATGAAGGTAGGTCTAGCGGTTTCGGAAATATGGAGGAAAAAGTAAAAAAATGAGCCATTTGGCGGTCAAAAATGATCATTAGACATATGCACATTAAATTATCAGATATTTTATAAAGATTTTAACAAATAAGTATACATTTTGTTAACATTCCTATGGGTTCCGTACCAATGCTGATGCGTTAGACAGCGACGCGGCGCTTACGCGCTTTATATTTTGTCCCTATGCAGTTAAAGCAGTACGATTGTTTTGAAAAAAAGTTCAGATCTTCCAAAATATATCAAAATAAAGAAAACATTTTTTTTTCAAAAAAAAGTAATTTTTTGTACAATTTATAGTTTCTCAAAAATCTAATTTTTTTGAAGTAAATTTTTTTCAAAAATGTTAATCGTTTTTAAAAAAAAAAAAAATTTTGGTACGGAAAGTTCCAGCAATTAGTTTTAAGACACGATGCCATGCACCACTAGTTATATTTTCATTTATCGTATAAGGGATGTTAGGGTTAGGAGTACTAGGCCTGCGGCCCTGTGCACCCTCCGTTGATACGGTGCGTTGGCGCAATCGTAGAAGCGTCGTTGAGGTCGTACAAGTAGGCGACCCGTATCCGATCGATCGCGTGCGTGCTTGCAGGCGGCCCGTGAGCTTGTGTGTAGCGCCGAGCTTTTGTCGTCGGCTACGGCTGTGATTTCCAGTTTGTCGTTTGGTGTCAGAAAGCAGTGCTATGTGATCGAGATGTGTATTCCATAAGACAAAAGTGCAGCTTTTAAGCTGGGAGGCCGGATGCAGAGTGCCTAAAATAAGCTGCACAGTGTACACATGCAGTGGCGGAAACTGGCTCGACTCAAGACAGCCCCGGGACAGTCACGAGCGCGGAGGATGCTTTGCTGCGGTCGCAGAAAGGTATGGAAATATTCGATTCGAGACATTTATATTTACTTTCATCGAAATCGACCGAGAGGGCATTGATACGCTCTTAATGTTCATATACTTTGACTACACTCACGATCGATATACGATATACATTTCGGGGCGATACCCGCACATGGACATTACATATTAGCGGATAAATCTATAAGCTAATAATTTATTGGTCCTTTTGTGTTTAAGTACTTTCGCAATAAAAACTATCAAAATAACTCATACGGCGTTTAAAACATGTCGGCGCTTGATCCTCAAGATTATTTCTGGTTACTTATTTATATATGATAAATGGCAACTTATTTATATATATAATATAAAAGTATATTATCTTTATAGAAAATTGCTCATCAAATTTCTAAAACAAAATTCCATCACTCGAAGCGTAGCACCCATACAAAATTTAAAAGACGCCTCAAGAAAAGCACTCATCTTATATATTCTCATGTTGAGCCGAAAAAAATCTTTATTATTATTGATTACGGCTTGCTTATGAATAAGTACATAAATAAACATAAAAACCTGGCATTTTGTTCGTTTCTTAATATTGCACAATAATGACTTATTTATAATGCATTTTAATAAAGAAATAAATGCAATTTAATTTTAATTTGATCACTATAAAGTAAACGTTCCACGAAACCAAGTTATTTACCACAATAATATATATTTATATAATGTGATAGTTTTCTTGAAAATACAACGATAATTACATTTCATAGAATCACATTATTATGTTACATTATATTATATTATGTCACTATATAAAATTAACTATATTGCACAAATCTCCCTCCCAACCAATTTTATAATATTATTTTCAAAAAGGATATATGGTGCGCTATTTGATTATATACAATGAAATAAAAGAAAATTGTAAAAATTTTTTTTATTTTTTTTTCTTATTTTTTAACAGTAATCAGAACCTTATGTCCTATGAGCTGTTGGGCTGAAACTTCTCCATCTTTCGCATTTTTTAGATGGTAACCCAATGGTTAATCCATCCATATTTGATGATTTTGTTATTAGAATTAATCTAATAGGGCTGACTGTTTAATAGGGCTATTTACACTTGGAAACATATTACTATCTATATTTTCAAGTAAAAATCATTGTCACTGCTGCCTGACAACAGGCTGCTCGAAATGGGTATCGAACCCGGGACCTCTGATTCAGGTCGCTTTTAACCGCTTACCTATGGGCGAGCCCTAAATTGTAAAGATAACTTATAATATATTATATATGTATGATAAATGTACGTGCATACAATGTCAACAAATAAACAATAAAAAAAATATTATTGCACTATATTATATTACCACATAGCCGATATAGTTGTTATATAGCCGATTGGCGTTATTATTATTATATTTTATTATTATTATATTTCCATTTATTATCCTTAACTCAATATATCAATTTTATATATTTTACTTATATCAAGTTGCTTGCTATTTTTTTAACTATTCTAATTCACAATTGCTAGTTACACATAAATACTTATTTTATAGCATACTAAAAAATATTTTAATTAAATCAATTATTTAGCGATTGAAATATTTTTTAGTCATCAATTTATGAATAATTTGTAGACTTAATATTATTAGTGTGATCATATTGCTAGTCAGTTCAAGAATTGAAGTAAATTTCGATAAAAAATATAGCTATAATTTTATATCGATGGGGGTGTGATTCGTATGCTACATGTTGTAAATGTTTTATTATGATATTTATTAGTCTTCTCTTAGGATGTTACCTATTCCTGTAGGGCAGATACGGTTATAACTTATGGATATATTATATTTATATTTATATATATGTATATATCGCACTACAGAGCAGATTCAAAAGATTCTCTCTGATACAAAAGAATTTGAATTTATTCAAAAAGTTATTTTTTATCTTGTAACACCAAATACAACCAAATTATCTATGAGTATTTTATAAAAACATTGTAAATTGTGATATATACATATTAAATTTATTTAGTGCTTCTTTTAATAGATAATTTAGTGTGTTATTTCGAACTAAGATTCACTTCTTATTTTCTGAAGTAAACCGAACAACCGCATGATGATTATAGAAATTCGTTTTTATACTCTAATTTTTTTTGTTATTCTCTAAGACGAGTTGTTGACACTAAATAATTAATTAAAGCATATATATTCCAGTTCACAATAATATTATAATATAATAAATCGAATTATATGTGTTTATCTATAACTTTTATATTTGGCGATTAGACACTTTAACCAGCTTCAACGTCTGTTTCGGAAAATATACTTACATTTATTTTTAATAAGTTTTGAAATATTTTATAATTAATATCAAAAGATTTATACGTTTTTGTTTTTCTTTCCATATTACAGAAAAAAAAACTTGGTAGAGACTAATGAGATACATTTTACATAGAGACATACACAGAGAAGCACAAAATACATTTTAAATGGAGACGTATAATGCAGACTATCATATAAATTTCAAAAACACAAAGTTTTTATTGTGATAATTGTTATTCATTTAAAATGTATGAAGCACATTTTTGGCACCTGGTGAATATTTATGAAAAAAGGCTTTATATCAAATATGTTGTTAATTGGATATATGTGTGAACGAAAGGCTTGTCGAAGCATATGCAATATTTCCAAAAAATCCAATATTGTGAATATATTGTATCTTTCAGGAGAATGGTCGTTCCGTGCCCGATCTCACGGCATCTCCGGGGCGGGCGCCGGCGGGCAGCAACACAGGCGCCGTAATTGCTGGCAACATGTCAGGAGCAATGCAAAGTAATGCAGGCGCGGTCGCGGTCGTCAATAATCGCTGCAAAGAACCGATGCTGCTTCAGGGCGACTTTCGGAAAGTATCTGGTATCAGTTCGGAAATCTTTCGGCAAATTGAACAAGTAGAAAACGATCACGATCCCAGCACGGCTGCAGCCCTTGAAGTAATAATTTGCTAATAATTTCATATTTTAAATGGTATATTTAATATTTATAGTATTGGTAATTTTATGATAAATTACAGGCGGTAGAACGACGTGGCGAAATGATTGTGCGTGTGCTAGAACCTCGCTTAATGGGTAGCCGAGCAGCTTGTGATGCCGCCCAAAAGTTTCTAAGCCGTGGGGACGCTTGCCACGTCGTGCAGCTAATAGAAATCATCAAACGTCCAGGACAGACGCTTGGGCTTTACATTCGGGAAGGAAACGGTGCTGATCGTTCTGACGGTGTTTTTATTTCGCGTATCGCCCTGGAATCGGCACTTTATAATAGTGGTTGTTTGCGAGTAAGTGATGAAATATTGGCGGTAAACCTCGTGGATGTTACTCGCATGTCGTTGGACGATGTCGTTATCATAATGTCCATTCCGCGTCGATTGGTGCTGGCCACCAGACAGCGCCGCGGTGGTCGTGGCGCGGGTTCTCCAGGACCACCACCTCCATCACGACCAGAACAAAAACCACCTCCTGTAGTTGTCATTAAGAGAGAATTACGAGAAGATGAAACTGATGAAGACCGTCGTCCACGTTCTTCTCGCGAACGGAGGACTGGAGACGGCCGTGAAATGACTGAGTCGCGCTCACGTCTGGGCCTAGGGTTGGCCGGATATAGCCCACCGACTGAACAGCATGGGGATCGCTTCTTTTCTCGGCCCGAAGCACCTCATACTTGGGGCTACAAACCTCCACCTCCACCACCACCTGTAATTACGGAGCAACCCAAAACTGCACAACACTTTGGCACTTACTATCAGAATGCGGCCGACGCTGGAACGTTAGAAAGTCTTGCGGAAAAAGTGCATTCTTTTTATCCTGGGCGTCGATTATCATCAGGCCCAGATCATGATTCTAGTTCGCACACAAGATTCCCTCGTTCCGGATCTGATCAGCATTTGCCCCGCGTAGAATACTCAGATTTTTCTTCTTTGGGACGGCATTCTTTATTACGTTCAAGTTTGAAAAGTGGTGGTACATTGTCCAGTCGCTACGCTCAACAGCGATACGATCCTTCGCCGCGCAGCAAATACGCGACACCGCCGTCGGCCAGTACGTTGACTAGACGTTCGAGAACATTAGATTATTCATCGGATACAGAAGCATCATGCGGTCCACGTCCTGAATATTATTATTATCGCAACCAACTAACGCGACCAGCTCCTGATATACCCTCTAAGTTCAACTCGTTGCCGCGCGATACCCGTGGCGCGGGTGTGCGCACGGCAGGACTAAGAACGAGACTTGAAGAACGGCTTGCGCATGAGGGTGATGGCGCTCTTTCGGCACCTGAACATGGACGCAGAGACCGAGGTAAACTAAAAGATTATCATATATAATATATCTTTTATCTAGTTTAAGTATATTAGTTTTATTTACATTACTTTATTATTTTTTATTTTAATAGTAATAACTGGCCGGCTACCTGCTTCACCATCAATTTTTACATCTGACGAATATCGAGCTTGGTTGCGAAGAGCGCCTTCCAGCTCAGCTATTTGTGAACAAATGCGTGCATCTAGAGAAGTTCTGAATCAACAGCGTGCACATAGATTTTCATGTAGTGCTGAAAATATTCATGATGCTCTTAAAAATGTAAACAATGTCTCATTATTATCTTATGCAGTAAGTACATCTTGTTTTATAATAAATGTTTACACTTTTAGGCTGAAAATAGTATGTATGGAGGTGCTACTGGCATTTTGGGGGGTACATTAGATCGACATTCCATAAGCCGTCTACCTTCTGCGACACCAGTTCGTTCGCTTTCAACACAGCATTTTGGAACGCGGACGCAAAGTGTTCGTCGCATGAGACAGTTACTTGAACTCGGTGGTGCTTTGACCCATGGCACAGCAAGTCCTGCACCGACACCGAGTTCTACTCTTTCACGTTCAAATCGACAAGTACTAATCATTTATTATTTAAGCCGGCCACAGACGTAACTGTATACTTGCGCAACTGAATGAATGCGCAACCAGGCGTATTTTCACAGCGCCCACAGACGGTTCAAGTTTATGTTCAAGTACTTGCGCAAGCATATCACAAATGTCAAAAAATAAATGTCAAAACATAACCTAAAAATATATCTTTTTTATTAATTTATGTATTTACAGCATCAGAAGAGAATTCAAAGTGTTCAGAAGGCTTTTTTAATAACTTTTAATTGTCGATAACTTCATAAACTTGTATTATGAATTCGCTACAAAGTAAAATAAAAACGGGGCATGTACTGCCACACGCGGCCAACGAATGAACTTGCCGACTTGAATGATTGCGCAATTAAAATAATGAAAAAGTGCTCATGCCTACTCGCTTGCACCAGTCTGTCAAGTTGCGCAAAAAACACTCCACAGACGCTACAGAATACATGCGCAAGTCGCAGGTTGCGCAAGTATACAGTTACGTCTGTGGCCGGCTTTAGACTTTTACCGAAAAATGCACTATGCATTTTTTCATAATACGCGCACCATAGATAAATTTACATAACACTCACATTGCTGTGACAATATGCATATAAGCACACTGACATACATATACACATTTTTACATATATGTCTATATATACATATTAACTTAAATTGAATTCTGGAAAGTTATACGAGCGTTTGTTTATTGTAGGTTGACATAAATCCTGCCGAATTTTTAAAATACAAACTAGACAAGCCGTGCAATGAAGGTCCTCCAGTGTCTGGAATGCTCTGGATTCATTTATTGGCTGGTAGAGGCCTACGCGCCGCACCAGAACCTGGAGCGCCTGCTGGAGCCATTCGTGATTTGTATTGTGTTCTAGAGTGCGATCGCGTTCATAAAGCGCGTACGGTAGTACGAGCCGGTGACCTACAATTTGATTGGGATGAATCCTTCGAACTCGATTTAGTATCAAATCGCCAGTTAGATCTATTGGTGTATTCATGGGATCCGCAGCATAGACACAAGCTTTGCTATCGTGGCGCTGTGTCTTTATCTGGTTTGCTGAGGCAAAGTTCTTTGCATAGATTGGCGCTCAAAGTAGACCCTCGCGGTACATTGTACTTGCGACTGAAGCATACGGACCCAGCACAGTTGTACCGAAGACGAGGACCGGCGACGCCGCGAGGTGGTCCTTGTCCTCCTTTGTTTGGTGCAGATTTGGAAGGTACTGTAAGTCGCGAAGCTAAAGCTCTTCCCCCGGGAGCTCCAGCTGTTCCTACAATAGTTAGACGATGTGTAGAAGAAGTTGAAAGGCGAGGACTAGACATTATCGGCTTGTACAGATTATGCGGCTCTGCGACTAAAAAGCGCCTTTTGCGCGAGGCTTTTGAGCGTAATAGTCGCGCCGTAGAGTTGAGCCCTGATCACGTTCCTGATATCAATGTCATCACTGGTGTGCTGAAAGATTATCTTAGAGAATTACCAGAACCACTGTTCACGCGATGCCTTTATCAGATGACTGTAGATGCACTTGGTGAGCAATGATTTCAATAGAGTATGGTTGGTTGAGTTTATTATAAATATTCAAACTTATTCAAAACAAATATGATTTTATTAGGTGTGTGTCTACCCGATGATCCCGAAGGAAACGCAAAACTAATGCTGAGCATTTTAGATTGCCTTCCACGGGCTAATAGAGTGAGTTGAAATTCGTATAATGATTGTATATTTATTATGTGAATTTTGTTAAAAGTTGTCAACGAAAAATGTTTACATATGCAGGCTACATTGATCTTTTTATTGAATCATCTCTCGTTGGTCGCATCGGCTTCTGAGCGCAATAAGATGTCGGCTCAAGCTCTGGCCACTGCACTAGCTCCGCCTCTAATGCTACACGCTACATCCGAGGGACAGCAGACTCCAGATTTAGATCATGCACAGCCCATTGCTCTATTGAAATATCTGTTGCAGATTTGGCCGCAACCAGAACGCCCTACAGCTTCCGTAACGCAGGGCATCACTGCTGTCGTCTCAGGTACTGTGCCGTCTCTGGAATCTGCCAACATTAATTTTGTTGAAACTCAATTCAACTTATCTCTTAAGTATATCGATTCACTGTTTTCTTCAAGCATAAGTTTATATGCATAACTAATCTGAAATTAAGAAAATAAACATGTGTGTTTAGATTTCTGTGCTTCAATGTCACACACACATTAACATATATATCTACATATGTGTATGTATATTTATTGATTTGGGCATTGCAACAAGTGAGAAAACTAAAGTAATTAAAAATTTATAGGAGATCGTCATTCAATGGAATAAAATAAAAATTAATAACAATGTATTCTGAATACACACATGCGAGTACTAACAAAAATAAACTGTCATTTATTAGTGCATATGTACACTATACTATTATGGTAATTGTCGAATCAAAGGATCAACAAAATTGTAATTTTTAATTATTTTAGTTTTACTATGCCCTAATCAACACACAATCATTATTATTATTATAATTAATAATAATAATATTCATTGTTTTTCAACTATATATTTCAACATTGATAATATTCATGCGTCATAACCGATAAAACTAATAAAGCTGTTGTATAATTTTTGTCACAATTATTATTACATTCCGACTGAGGTTTAAGAAAACATACATCGATTAAAAACATATTTTGTTTATCGTTACTCAGTATATAACTATTTTCTCCATTGCTATAAACATATAATTCATGGAATAAAAACATTGCAAATACGATTTATCAATGTTTATAAAAACAATTATACATAGCAAACATATGCATAGCAAAAATTTTAAACAAATCGTATTTGAAATAATGCATTTTATCAGAATATTAGTCATAGAAGATTATAGATTCTTTTTTGAACAGCGATCAGAGCTTAAGGGTTCTATAAGCCGATGTGAAGGTCGCAACCCAAACGGTTGTCCTATCTCTATGTGAGGCATTTATTATTACAATTTCATTAAAAGATATGGGTCAACCCTTTGAGCTGCCATAGGACAACTCACAGAACTTGTTAAGTTCTGATTGCTGTTAAACAGACTAATATAAAAAATTGCTATTAAAAACGCGTCGAAGATAATAATGGATTGAGTAAATCTAATTGATAGAGAGTGATTATTATACAAACAAAAAGACAAAAGTTATACGACAACCTTATTATTATTTTGATGTAATGCACGATACGTTTATATACATGGGCGTGGCCAGGTGGGCAACATTTATAGAATTTTATTGAATTTTATTGATTTTTTTACTTAAAATTGCAACTAAAAATCCGTATAGAAGATTAAAAACTGATATTTTTATTAATTGCGTATATATTACATTATTTATCCTAAATACCAAATACGCTATCATTCGTTGCCGTACTCTTATTTCACCAACTGTTGAAATAAAAATTATTATATTTTATTTTTCTAAATTGGAAATATTATATGCACATCATTGATTTCGATAATTTTTTCAGCTTGAGTTGATACTAATATGAATAATAAAAATAGATAAGTAATTAGTCGGTTAATAGAAAATATTCCAAAATGAAAAAAAGCCAACAGAGAGTTTTTTTTAGAAACCCGAACAAGTTTTCTAGAAGAACATGAACTGAACTGATCTTTGAAAATTTTGTTTCATTCGCTTTCAAATGAAAATTTTAGCTACATTCGCGATTTTTTTTTTACAAAAAATGAAAACAATATTAAAGAGCATTAAATGAAAAGAAAGTATTTAAATATTATTAAATAGAATGTAAATTCGTCTTATAAACAGATGCAGAGTGATGTCATTTTATTAGGATATATTTTTTGATGTCTCTAGTCCCTACTAATAAAATCCTGGCTACGTTCATATATACACAAACAGGGTGTCCCGGAACTCAACGTAGAGCCGAAACGGGGTGATAGCATCGACCTTAACTGTCCTGAAAAAAATTATTACACATTGTTTGTAAATTATGAGCTTTTAAGTACAATCTAGAGCTTTGCAAATATTATGAACATTTTGCGGTTATTATTGTTAGGTTTTATTAATTTTGTTTATTTAAACTTTGCAATCGTAACCATGAATAACATTCAATAAAAAAATAATAACACCGTTTCGACTTGACGTTAAGTGATCTATATATAATATATCTTCTGCATGATCATGTGTCACGCTTTCAATGTTATCTGTTTAAAAACAAATGCTTAAAAATTTATAGTTATTTCTATTAGATAACAGAAAAATTGGAATTGGTGGTTGTTCATCACTGTGTGTAATTTGTTCTTTGTTTATGAATTTGATTGCTACATTACAGTGTCTAACAAAAGCTCATTTATGTTCGCTTATGTAATTTTTTTTTTTTTTTATAATTTTATTTGAACAGCGATTAGAACTTATGGGTTCTATGAGCTGTTGTGATCAATATCTTACAAACTACGTTTGTGTTATTGCAGATGGCAACCCAAACAGTTTTGATAATTTTTTTTTATTACAATCTCTGTGATAGGGCAAGTATATGGTGCAACAATGCCGGGTGAGGGCTATTTTCACTTGGAAACATATTGCTATTTATATTTCCAAGTGAAAATCGTTGTCACTGTTGCCTGACAACAGGCTGCTCGAAGTGGGTATCGAACCCGGGACCTCTGAAACAAGTCCCGTCGCTCTTAACCGCTTACCTACGGGCGAGCCCTTATGTAAAATTAGTCGTTCTTCTAATAATGCATGATTCAATGTAATATTTTCTTGAAGTATGTAGTATTCGTGTGTATAGTGCTGTGTGAGCCCTGTATATGGTCTAATGCTAGGTGGATGTAGACAGGTCGGCGCGCAGAGCAAGCCGCGCAGCGTGGAGGCAGAGTCAATGTGTCGCAAGCGGCCAGACGTGCTCCGCCACTGGCCGGTAAATACGATTACTATATTGTTATAATATTATATGTATTGTTAGATTTGCCGACTGGTATAATTTGTGAGAAAGAGAAATCGGGAATGAGTCATTTGGTTCAATCCTGTTACACTACGTCAGTTACTTATTATTAAAGACATCAAATTATTATTCAAAATTTTACGAATTGTAACTGCCGCTAATCTACATCCTGTTAATTAATACTAAATATTTTAATATATGGGTCATTCTTCTACAAATCGCACGGATTTTCTGAAAAATAAAATATCACATTTTAGAATTGCCTGAATTTTTTTTTTTACAGATATTATACATAAAATCATTTGACACGTATTTCAGGAAAAAGGGTTTAATCTAACTGAGCAATCCATCAACTTTCAAATATTGTTGTTAAAAAATTCCTAATTTTACTTGTTTTTGAGATAATCGAAGTGGATCTTTTTACCCGAATTTTCAAGCCCCGCTCTCCCCTAATATTTTTTTCGACTATTTATTCATTTTTCGCTAGAAACAAAATTATAGAATATTTTTCAACCGAAAAACAATAAGATTGTCATTCGAAAGTGACAAATGAGTACAAGTGTTTGAGGTCCACGACGTGGAAAGCTCGACTTGCGCTCGAAAATAATCAACAAATAGTAAAAAGATTTTTGTTGCAGAGCAAAAAAGAACTAGTGGGGCGCATGGCATCGTGCCTTAAGGCAAATTGCTGAAACTTTCCGTACCACAAAATATATTTTTTTAAAAAGATTAAAATTTTTGAAAAAAAATTACTCTGAACAAATTAGAGTTTTGAGAAACTATAAATTTTTGACAAAAATTTCCTTTTTTTTGAAAAAAAAAGACTTTTTCAAGAAAAATGTATTTTGAAATATTTTGGAAATTCTGAACTTTTTTTCAAAGCAATCGTACTGCTTTAAGTGCATAGAGACGAAATATTGAAGCGCGTAAGCGTCGCGTCGCCGTCTAACGGTTAAACATTGGTACAGAACGTACCAATGTAAACAAAAAATAGAATGTAAACAAAATTTATACTTATTATTAAAATCTCTATAAAATATCTGATAATTTGATGTGCATATGTCTAATGATTATGTTTGGCCGCCAAATGGCATTTTTTTAAAAAAATTTTACTAGATCTCCGAAACCGCTAGACCTGCCTTCATAAAAATTTCATCAGTTTTTCATCTTCTTAATACTCCTTGATGTTTTTTAATTATTCAAACCGGACGCTCCGTTCTCTTAAAACTGAGTTACCGTTTTTGGCACTTTTTACCCCATATCTTTGGAACGGCTAGACCTGCCTTTGCCAAAAACTAATCAGCACCTCTCCTTATCAATACGAATCGAATGTTTTTTGAATTATTCAAATCGCTTCATCCGTGTTCCCGAAATCGTCGACGAAAATTTGTATCCGCACACACACACATACACGCACATACACACATACATCCATTTTTTCTAAGGTATTCCAAAATGTTCAGAAGGATTTGAAACGTAAAGATATATAAAAAAATTCATTTTCGATTTTTTTGCGATTACTATAACTTGCCCTACGGGAAGTTAAAAAATATGTTTTTTTTAATAGATTCAATATGGGTAAAGGGTAAGTAAAACCTCTGTAAATATTTAAGGGTTGTTATTGTTAAGAAAATTGCAAGAAAAAAAATTTTTTTAATCACAAAGTTCACTTCAATATGAGTGTATAATAAATAATAATACTGATCCGAACAGCACAACTGGAGATAATTAATTTACCGCAAAGGATGTTCATAGAAATTGGCAAAAATTCATATTTTGATCGTAAATATTCACGTAAAAAATGTTTTCAGTAAAATCTGAATAGTGTCAAATGGTTCCATGTATAATATCTGTAAAAAAAAACACCATTTTCCAATTTTTGATCAGCAATTAAGTTTAACTTTTCTATCAAATCGAACATCCCCTTTATTGTTTTTATAGGATAGGAATTTTTACTCTTTCTTATATCCTATTTTACCTTCATGTTGGCTGTTTATCCATGCTTCAACTACTTTCCATATATTAATTTCGGGTAAACTTTTCGACAAGTTCCCTCAAGAAGAATCATAGTTTTTTGCAGTAACAATAACTGTGTTTGAACTTTCATATCAAAATCTCCAGTTATTTTTAACAATTGAGTAAGTAAGTTAGCAAATGAGATTTTCTGTACAGGTGCCCGATAATAGGCTCACCTATGCCCTACAAGCTGTAACAAATTTTTTGTGCTCTGATGAAACATACCCAGCTTTAAATGTTTTCGCAACGTGATCATAATCGCGGTTTAAAAATCCTTTAAGTATCTCTATAACATAATAACATGTCTCACGGTCTATTCGACCCATAAACCGCAGTCAAGGGCAATAACATTACCATTATTATCAACCATTAAATTTTCCAGGGTGAATATCAGCGTGAAAGAAACAGTCCCTGTATACTTGATTGCAAAATGATTCTATAAGATTTATAGCTATTTGCTTGTGATTGTTTAATTTGTCAACTTCATAGATCGGTGTTGCTTCTATCCATTCCAACGTTAAAAACCCTTTTTGAAGTTCTACTCCAATTTACTTCTGGCACGTAGAAACCTATGTCATTTTTTGTGTTTTCCTTTAACTCTGAGAATGAGCAGCTCTTCAAAGCGCAAATCTAATTCTAATTTGCAAAATTTCGGCAAAAGTCTTTACCAATTCAATCGGTTTGAGCCGCCTTGATTGTTCGCTGTGTTTTTCTGCAAGCTCTGCAAGCCAATAAAGCATTTTTATATCTCTGAAAAATATTTTTTCAATATTTGGCCTTAAAAATTTTTACTGCTACTTCCTTTCCTTCAATTGTGGTTGCTCTATGCACCTGCGAAATCGATGCTGCTGCAATTGGCTCTTCAGAAAAGCTTGAAAAAATGTCACTTAATTTACAATTAAACTCGCTTTCTATAGTTTTAACTGCTATCTTATGTGAAAAAGAGGCAGTCTATCACATATTAACAATAAGTTGTTTGTTATGTCCTCGCTTAAAAGATCAGTACGTGATGCAATAGACTGCCCAAATTTAATAAATACTGGACCTAATTTCTCAAGGGCGCACTTTAGCTTCCGTCCACATATTCTATTTATAGACTTTTTTGATGGCGGTAACAAGTGCGGTAATATATTATAACGAGTAAGTACTGCAATCACGCGTAGTAGGCGTAGGACATTCTGAATCATTTCATTTTATAACTACTAAATATTTCACTTAGAGTTTTATTTTTTAAAATCTCATCAGGCTTACCTTGGCAATAGACAGTATTATTTATACAAACTATAATCCGAGCACGGCACAACAGAGCTAAGATCGTGAGATGTCATCAGAATCGACACTGATCGTTTTTTTGCTATTTCAGCTATGATATTATAGAACTTGGTCCTTGCGTTAATATCCATCGCACTTACTGGCTCATCAAGAATGATCAGATCAGGTTCCGCAATCAAACAACGCGCAAGCAGTAATAACTGTGTTTGTCCAGCCGAAATCTCCAATACTTGATTTTTCAAAATATTGCCAATACCAACTAATTCAATCACCTCCTGAATAATAGACTGATCTTTTTTCAGCTCTTTTGAAAAGCTATTGAGAAGGAAGTATTCAACTGTTATTGGTATCAAATTGCTGATGCTAAAATTTTGTGGCATATAGCTAATTTTTATATTGTCAGCAAATTAACACTACCAGTATTTTTTATTTATGCCAGCAATTGCCTTTACTATGGAAGTTTTTCCTCCTCCATTTGGACCAAGTATTGTAACCACATCCCCTTTTTCTACTGATATATTTATGTCATCAAGAACTTTTTTGTTGTCGTATGAAAGGGCGAAATTTTCTATGTTTAGGATACAATTATTGACATTATTTAATTTTTTGATAAAGTTTAATTTTTTCTCAACGTTTGTATGAGACATTTACTGGCTTTTCTTTTATTAATTGCTTTTACACTATACTATAATAACGCTTTTTCATCTAGTTTAAAAGTTGTTGCTACAATCAAGCCTATTCATTCACTTGTAGCTTCTGTGACAGATGGGATCTTAGAACCAGATTTGTTAGACTACACAACGTCTGAACATGATTATATATTAAAGCCCTCTGATGCAAGTAGTCTGGAGCTCAGTGATGTGGTATTTTATGTCGATGATAACTTAGAGACATTTGTAAAAACTTTTTCTAAGGATAATAAGAGGTTAGTGCAATTATCAAAAACTATTGACCTACTGCCTACTCGACCACATTCATTTTCCAAAAAGGTTGCCAATGTTCACGGTAAAAAAGATTTGCATATTTGGCTAAGTCCTGAAAATGCAAAAAGCATGATACTTTTGATAAGTAAAACTTTGTCTGATTTGGATCAGGAAAATTCTTATCGATATAATGCTAATGCAGTAAAAGCAGTAGAAAAAATAGACCAAGAAGTAAAGAAAATTGCGCAAGATCTAAATAACTTTAGAAATCAAAAATATATAGTAACTCACGATGCTTATCAGTATTTTGAAAAATATTTGGTTAAAACAGTCCAAGTGTAATACTTTCCATAGAAGAAGATTCATATCTTGGAATGAGAACCTTAATGGAGTTGAGAAAGGTAATGAAGAAAGAAAATATTAAGTGTATACTTTCTCACTCGCGAGAAGACAGTATAAAACCTCAAATCCTTTCTAGTGACACAAGAACAACAATTCTTGATCCTATTGGTGCAGAAATAGAATCTGGAGAAAGCGCCTACTTAGCTATAATGAATGACATTGCACAAGGTTTTAAGTCCTGTTTTGCTGCTCCAACACGAGACTAAGTACAAAATCTAGATAATGCCAAAAACGTACATTTTTATCTGTTGACGCACAGTTTCTTACTATATTAAATATTAATATTAAATAATTAATAATATTAATAAATGATTAGGAGTAAGTTATGCCAAAAAAATTGAAATCATTCGATGAAGTTGAAGAACGTCAGGGAATATGCAAAAATAAGATCGCAGAACTACAATTAAAACTAGAATCACGCACCCCCCTAAGAAGGTGTCTGCAAAGTATGTAGAAAAGTAGAAAAAAGGACAATTATGTGATACAAGGATAACTTTAACATGTATCCAAGTGACATAAAAGACAGTGAATGGGAAATTTTAAAGCCATATTTTGAGCCAAAAAAGACAGGTAGACCAAGAAAACACGATATTAGAACAATTATTAATGCAATAAGGTACGTAATGAGAACAGGCTGCCAATGGAGACAATTACCTAAGGATTTCCCACCATGGAAGACAATTTACAGTTGAACACACGACTAAAAAACACTGGAAAATGGCAAGAAATACACGATATTTTAGTAAAAAAAGTAAGGGAGGTAGTTGGTAAAAGAGCCACACCATCAGTTGGAATAATTGACAGCCAATCAGTAAAAACGACTCAAAAAAGGGGGCCAGAGGTTACGATGCTGGCAAGAAAATAAAAGGTCGAAAACGGCATATTATTGTAGACACGCTAGGACTCGTGATTACGGCAGATGTACACAGTGCAAGCATCCAAGACCGCGAGGGAGCTTTAGATCTTCTGGTAAAAGCAAAACAAAAATACCAACATTACAGAGGTTTTTGCTGATCAAGGATACACAGGTAACCTTAAAAACAGATGCTTAATAAAAACAGGATGTTTATTTACAATAGCAAAAAAAGCTCCTAATATTGCGGGATTTGAGGTTATACCGAAGCGTTGGATTGTTGAAAGAACTTTTGCTTGGCTTTCCAATTTAGGCGTATGAGTAAGGATTATGAGCATTCTCCTCAAACTTCGGAAACCAATATTTTCTTAATATGACTACTATTATGCTTACTAAATTAGCTAATTCTTGAGTTTGCAGACACCTTCTTAGAGAACGTATCGAATCTTCCACTTCTGGAGCTATCGCTCTTGTTGTAAGTGATGTTATTAATAAATTTCGCGATAAAAGAGAAATAAAAACACTTCAACGTAAAGTGAAAAAATTGGAAAAATTAGCCAGTAATATGGAGCAACCTGCTACTGTAACAGAAATTGCAGAAGAAGAAATGGATCAAGATAATTATTTCTATATCCTGTGTCAATTGAGGATGGATTGGATCAAGATAATTCTTTTCTAGATTCTGTATCACATGTTAAAACACGTACAACCAGCTCAATGTACACAGCGATAAGTTATTATGTGAATTAGAGTCACTGTAAAGGTCGGCTACTTAGATAACACTATTTTACAGGTCACTGGCCTAAAACGCAACGTTCGTACAGCTGTGGTGTCAGCTACTTGGCTGACACGTTTTGCAAAGAGTTATTTGTATCCATTCAGGTGTATGGCTTAAGAAGCAATAGCCAGTAGGTTTTGAAAAGGATTTAACTTCTTTTGCCTCCAAGTCAAGTACAATGAAATTATCCTCTCAAGAAACATATTTCCCCGTTTCGATTGTGTTAAAATATGAAACTTTTCGGTAAACAACGTAATGCCGAATCTGTCGCTCAGCATAGTTGTTTGTCAGTGGAATATTTTCTGGATCGTCCAAAAATTTCCACATCATCAGATCCGATTTCATGATATTTTTTGCTACTCGAGACGCTCCAATTGCCTCGGGTAATTTGATATATTCTTTAAGTAATATCTCGTTCGCTTGCGTAATTTTCTTGCTCTTCTTATGAACCTTAATGTGTCTATTTCATCCTTTAACAGAGCTTTTTTCAATGCAAATAATTCAGTAGCAACATTCCTTAAATAATACCCCAAAACTTTCACTTCGCTATTCCAACTATGAGACAACCTTTCAAAATCTCTTGCTAAATGTGCCCAACAGACCTGCCTTTTCTTGCTGGAAAAGTAGTTGTAAGCTGCATATCTGTCGGTCACTACTAGGTTGTTATTCTTTCAAATTTACTATTTTCCAGGACTTTCATCCCTCTTGACTCTGTCAATTTGATCACACTTCCTATTTTGCTCGCAACATCCAGCACCAGCCCTGTTTACCTTTGTTGTAATGGCTAGTTTCATCGATATGTAAAATTTTGCTCTTGCTTACCTCTTCCTCAATTTGCTCATATGCTTCTTGGCATTTTTCTGCCACTCTAGCCTCGCTATTTGATACACTACCGACGCTGATATCCAGGTTGAAAATGTCCTTTATATATTTGCCACTTCTTTTTTCGAATTCTTGTAAAATCCACTTAATGCTGCAATTACTGACTTAACTCTTGGACCAAATGTGTCCGCAGTTACTCCTTCTTGTAGCTTGCTACTTTTTCTTTTCCACATTTTTTGCAACGTCCATGCTCTAGTTGATATTCAACTACATACGGCTTGATTTCCGGCAAATCGACCTTTTGATGAGTATACGGATCTTTTGATACCGCAATTTCTCCTCCGCACTCACACGTATTGGGCAGTTCTATTTTTACCATCTCATCTGCCTCCATTTTAGGGCGGTAACTGCCTTTATGTCCAACCTGTGCTCCTACTTTCCTGTCACTTTTTGGCTTATTTTCCCTCATCTTATATAATTCTTTGGAGCTTGGTATAGATGAATTTTTTGAACTTAAGCCAAGCCTTTCTTTTAACTCAGCGTTTTCGATCCTTAGCGCTTTATTTTCTGCTTTAAGCTCTTCTATTTTGTTTCTAACTTTTCTATAGTCTGCTTAAACTTTCGCAAAATTCTAAAAGATCAACCATATTACCTCACAGCCACTCTAGTTTACCTTTTTAGCATTCCTTGTCTACTCTTTATTTTACCGCCCGGCTGAATGGATACATCCTTTTCAAAACCTACTGGCTATTGCTTCTTAAGCCATACACCTGAATGGATACGATTTAAAAAGATAACCTAAAGGACTTAGGTGGTGTAGTTTTATACAAAAAACACCCCAATGGTAATTTTACAATATTCTCTACATAATGTCAACTAAAAATTCCTGGTGTTTTAATTAATTTGTCACACTTAATCTTTTAAACGAATTATCATCTTAAGGTATTGATATTCTCGTTATTTTTTATATCCGGAAGAGTAATCATTTTTTCTATTCCTTCTTCAGGCTCTTTTTCTCCTATTAATGCTAACTCGATACCTTTCTTTTTCAGAAAATTACTAGAAGATACAACTTTTATGTTTCTTGCTTCCTCAAATGCTTTTCTTGCTATACCAGCACTTCTGCCACCATCTTTTACAGCTTCTAAGTTTGCATTATATCCTTGTGCATTCCTATCTTTTACTCTTCTATAGTCGCTTGTTCACCAAGCATGTAAATATCAATTCTGTTGGTGTCATGTGATCCCTCAAAGGCTGCTTTTTTAAATCTTTTATTTCTTGTGTTCTTTAGTTGTAACTCCAAATGTTTCTTGGGAGATCACATCAGTGAGTATTGCATACTCTTTACCTTCCATATTCTTATTATTATGGTCAGTTATGTTCATCTTGTCCCATTCTTGTGTTAGTTGATTTCTTGTAGATATAGATTGAATTCTTCTTTGTATCCATTCATGAGAATACCCTTTTGCAACATAATTAGCATAGGCACGCTTAAATGCAAGTTCAGGGTTTTTATATTCTTCTAACCTTTCATATCCAACCTTTGCCAGCCAACGTTTAAATTGTTCCACTCTTTCAGTTTTAGAAGGTACAGATTGTAAGATACGCAATAATCCCTCGACATTCGTACAATTTACATTTTGTTTACCACCTTTGTTTTATTTCAAGGGGGGTGACAAATTGTCCCCATCCTTTAGCAAGCTCTGGATCTCTGCTCCTCATCTTCTTTAAGTAATCAGATGGGTTTGTACTACCTGTAAGAGAAGCTATTACTTCCGTTATTACATACCACCACTCTCCGTTATGCAGGATTCTAGTTAAACTATTGCTATCAAATGAGGTAATATCGATACCTCCTTCTTTTATATTTTAAGACATTATTTACCATAACTCTCTAAAAACCTTCAAACATTTATCTTTAATTTACACCATTTTCAACCACCCACAATAGTTACTTTTTTAGAGTCACCCAACTACCATAGTTACATTCAGTTATAAAATTGTGTAACATATTTTCTCAGCAGCAATATTTCAGACAACTGGATTTTTCTTGGCTAGCTAACATATTTTGTAGATGCTCATTCTTTACGTATGCTTCCACTAGGAAATAACATACTTTGTCTCCTAACTTGAGTATTTATATATGTTATAAAAATTACAGATATTCTTAAGCTTTTAATGAAGAGCTATACATCAAACTTGCATAAAATATGATGATCAGGTGTGATAATTGAAGTGATTTTATTCTTATCACCATATTCGCTAGTTTCAATGCTAACTTTAACTACACACTCCAAATCATTTAACTCAGATAAAGATTCAATTCTACGAGCAAGCTTAGCCTCCTCACCGTTATCATATGGGTAAACATTGCGAGCAGATTCTAGGATAACGCGAATCATT